CTCAAGAGTTAGAAACTTACCTTATTGTGAACCGAAGCCACGACGAGTAGTGTGGGCAGGACGTATAGCCCACGACAATATATACATTATAGGTACAAACTGTCAGCACATAAAAGAGATAATAGGAATACTGCAATGGAATGTTAAAGATCTCAACATAGAAACTAATGGATTCATGAAGCAATAGCAAAATAGCAAATGGGTCAGTACATAGGTGACACAAAGAAGACACAAAACATGGCTAAATACAGGTAATGAGAAAATGATAGACTGGAGAAGAACGTGGGCAAGCTTGTTATTATCAAAGATTATAAGCTTTCACACCAACCAACAGGATCACAACAACAGAGGGTTTAGATACAAACTGTTTAATAAAGAGCTCCCCATTAAAGATAAGCTAAACGAGAGAAGGTCAGACTTATACAAAGACAAAATATGCCCTTGGTGCAACAGATAGAAAACCACAGAACACGTATTCAGTGAATACTATAGGGATAAGATCAGAATCACATACCTGCAGATATTAAAAGAAAAAATAACAAGCAGTGTAGAAACACAAGAAAAAAGAATGAATTGAAGAAGACAACTTGAATTCATTATCAATGACTCAGAAAGAACTATCAGGTATATAATCAAAGGAATCTACGAAAAGGACCTAATTGAGCTGGTGGGCCAAATCAATGAGAAAAAATTAAAGACACATTAAAAACAGTCACAAACAGAATAACAGAGGAACTCCAAAAACTTTGGACTCACAGATGCAAAGGTTTTCAGCAATAGAAAAGAAAAGAAAACATAAGCAGAAAAGAAAAAAGGAAAAAGAAACAAAGATGCCAAGTTGTCACTCAAGCTGTAGACACAAGGTGGCACAGATCTCCTTTCAAAAGAACAGAAAAAGCAAGAAGACTACAAGAAAAACTCTTAGAAAACTGGTTAGACTGGAAAAAAACATAATTAATTTCAATTTTTATTACTTTTTATATAATAACAATACTAACGGAGCCTTGGCACATTAGCCTTGACACATGTTGAAAGATAAGTCAATAGCAACAAGCTGATATGGAGTCAAATCGATATAGCAAAAAATATATCTAGAATAGTTTATAGATAGTAAGTCTTATAACAAGAAGTACATATGTAAACTAAATAAAATATGTTGAGCAAGGTCACGCTAGTTGAAAAAAAAAAATAACAACAATTATTATAATAACAAACAATGTTAATTATACTCTATTATTTATATTAACAAATATTATATCTCTAAAATCAACACTAGTCCATAAGTCAAACAATTGGCTACTTTTTAGATATTTTTTTTGTTTATATAGATCTTATAGTTTAAATAATTCAATTTTAATTTCAATAATCTATATTATTATAACTTGTAGTTTATTTTTTTTTTAATTTTTATTTACTTTCTATTCTTTTTATATCTAATTAAAAAATTCTGAATAAGTAAGTATAGCTGCTCTCAACTATATTTAGCATATACAATATTGGTTTAAATTCTTTTCAATATTAACTAGATATAGATATATAGACAAGTGTAACATTTCATATTACAATATATAATATTTCATATTAAAGAAATCATAAAACAAGACATTTGTTTATAATTAATAAAGGAAAACTTTATTAAATATAAGAAAAACTAGACAACTCTATTATTTTTCAAAAAAAAAAGAACTTCCTTATATATATGTTTTTCTAATATAAATAAATAAAATAGAAATACAAGTTTAAAATAATATATACAGTATAATCTTATTGGTTCTTTGGAGATTATATACATATAATATAAAGTGAAACAATAAAATAATAAACTAATGTTTCATTCTAATTATTCTAATACCTTTAAAATTCCTTACAAATAGTTAGAGAAACCAAAAGTGAAACAAAATAGAGTTATTGATATTTGTAAACTTATTATTATAATATCAAATACCTTTTGGGATTGGGCATCACATGTTATGTGCCATATACTAAATATTATTTGTATATATCACATGTCCTAAGTATAATAAAAAATCATTAACTTATGATATTTCAAGTTTCAGATATTCTATAGAAATATAGATTGGACTATTGTATTTCTAGAATATTGCTTCTTCCATTGACTTGTTAATGCCACTTGTGTGACACATCTTGTGTCACACACTTCACCAATAGTATTGTTATAGCAAGTTAGTATTTAATTTGTTATATACTTTGTATCCAAAAGATATTGTTTTTTTTATCATGTATATAGCTCTATAGTATAATACAATAAATAAAGAAATGATGTTTACCTATTGGAAAAAAAAAAAATTTAAATTATAATTGAAAGGATATACTGTATAATTACTATTTTAAATAAACAACAACAATAATAAATAATAATTTGGTTAAATGTAACAACATATAGTTTAATAATATAACAATATTATTATTATTTAAATATTTTTTTTTGATTCACATTGCATACATTTATTAATGAAAATCCTTGTTATACAATAAGGATTTAGGCCATTTAAATTTCAGCATCAGAAACACAATAGTAAGAAAAAATAATAAGCGAACACAATATGAAGGATTTTAACACAATGTGATACAAATGAAAACAAATTAAATACATACATAGACATTAAGTGATGAAACTTCTACCAGGGTGGGATAGGTATACTCTAATTATGATTAAGATTTTGTCGCGTGGTGCCACATTATGAAAAGTGTCCTCTTCGTGAACAAAGATGCAAGTGAACAATGGAACCTTAGCATCTTCCATCCGAGAGATGATAACCAATTTAATGGTTATGTGATTTAGGAATTCGTGCATCCTATCAGTACAATCATTCCTTTTTTATGCTAATGAAACCCGCTTTTTTTTTTTATCGTGAAATTCTGCTGTAAAAGGGGTGAAAATATACATATAAAAAGAATTGTTTGTACAAGGTTTTTAATTAACTTGGTGCCACCCACGCATCACATACAAAGCGTACGTATGCGCCCCAATATTCATATACGTATCGCAAAAAGAGTTTTTACTATATTGTCAGACGTACAAGTTCTTTAACCGAACACAATTCTATAGCTATCCCATACGGTACTCTTTCACAAAAATTCTTCTCAAAGAGTCAAATTTATCTTATCCGTTCTTTGGTATATTATCAACCTTGTTTTTTTTTTCTAAATTCCTGTGGTGATTGCAAATTCATTTCAAAATTCAAAAATGCTTAATATATGCGTATTTTATGTGCTTTGTCAGTTTCTTCATTGCAACGTCTCAACCATATTCTACGATCTCTCCTGTTTGTCCGAATCGTTTACAAATTACTCTCTTTCCACAACTATTCATTACGGGGTGTGCAGTTGTATGGCACCCTGAAAACAGAATGACTAAACATCCTTCCAGCGTTAAACTGAATGCTGTCAAGAAGGATGAGACTTCTACCTCGTCTATAACATCCTTACAACAAACTGCCGCTGAAAAAGAAGCGATAAAGACTGAACGAGTAAGAACGGAAGCGAAGCTCGAAGGTAGGAATCCTGATAGCTTCATTAAAGTCTACAATGAACGTGAAAGCAAGTCCACTGGTTCTGGCCTTGTTATAAATGGTATGTATACCTAGTTTCTCATGGGGTGAGGTCTTTCCACGCAAGGAGCTAACTCCTGGGTTACACAATAGCTAGAAATAAAGAAAATAGATCATCAAGAGAATTTGGTAAAGGTTCAAGTTCACCGGACGAGAAATACGCTGATGAATATATGGAATTATGCTTTCCTGATTCACCAAGTGTATCTCAAAATTCAATTTCTCCTCGTGAAAGTCAGCTTTTGGACGATTTAGATGATACTGTGATCAAAATAACGAGTGATAAAGATAAAAAATATTTAGGAATGATTGCCGAAGAAGAAGAAATTAATTCGTCGAGATTTAATTCATCCTCAAATTCAGGATACATAATAAACGACTTGGCAAAGTTTCAGAATAGGGTGAACGATCTGAAAAATTCGGATCTTGACTCCACGTCTTACGCTTCATCGACAGCAGACACAGAGATTAGCATATTTAATGATACTGAATCATCAACTTCCGGTGGTACTAATGAACCCGAATCTCCTTTGAGTTTACCAATTCCTAATTCCAAGGGGCTTCAAAAGAGAAAGAATTCTTTCGGATTCAACTCAGGGCGTAATAATTTAGGGGGGCGTTCGATATTTTCTGTTCTTTCGACTACCTCTTTACATCAATCAACATCAATATCACCAAAGAATTCAACCCGAGGTTCTCTATCAGAACCGGAAGGTGAATTTCCTAGAGAATTTTCTCCTAGTTCGCCATCAAAAGCAGATAAGATTTTGGGACGCACAAAATTATCATCATTATCGCTAAGAAAAAATCGTTCGAAATCAGCTATTTCCGATGATAGATCGTTGCTTTCTTTTTATATGGGGTATGATCCTGGACTAAGTTCACCGGAGAGTGGCGAGAAGCCTTCGAAAGTCGGCAAGATTCTTGGTCTGACTGCTGTCGAAGAGAAAATTTTATTAGACAAACCTCCAACCGGTAAAAATAAAAAATCACGTGGGACATCTGAAACACGCGTATCCTCAAATAAGAACTTCAAAATTCCTGTATCACCGAGTTCTCCTGATGAAAGGTCAAAAGCAATCAGAGCAAGTAAGGCTGGTAAGATATTAGGATGGGATGATGCTAATTCAAAGCTCCCGATCGGTGGTCCGATAACTGTTTCTAGCATTAGCAATAGTAACAATTTGGTACTCAAAGGATACATGTCTAAATATCAAAATACCAAATTTCTGTCCAAATCATGGAAAAAAAGATACTTTATTCTCACCAAGAACACTTTATATTGTTTCAAGTCAAATGAATCATCGACACCTCAAATAGACAATTTTGAATTAACATCAGAAACGGCTGTATATCTTAGTGATGATTTTAATGCGAGAGGCTATGTATTAGGGGTTAATAAAGGAGGAAAACCATGGCATCTACAGGTGGATAATGTCGAAGAGATGAAGAAGTGGATGGGCGAGTTAAAGCGTGTCATAAAAAATTGTAGTGAAGATCCCAAAGGATCATTGGTTGGTTCCGTAGGAAGAATAATCGAAGATCATTCACTTAAGTCAACAAAAACTGCGAAAAGAACATCACCTATACATTCCATCACGGAGCCACCAGATAGCATCGATGATATTGTTGATCAAATATCATTGCCACCGCCACCAAGACCATCAATGATAACGTCTTTACCGCCTCCACCTCGGCCAAGGTCTGCACCAAATTCATCATGTCCTCCGTCACCAACGGCCGTTGCGTCATCCTCATCTCAATTGATGTCTCCTCATTCATATGGTTTCAATGAATTTTCCGGCGTAATAGAATTTGAATCTCCCCTACGCCCCTCCTCACCGGTCGAAACCTTGTCGCCTCCGAGGACACGATATGGGCAAAATATGTTGACAAAACAAAATGAAAGATCGGTTCATGTTCCGCAGCATAATAGAAACCAATCGAGTGCATTTGGACCAATTAATGTTACCATGCAATCCCGTCAATCATCTTCATCTTCACTCAACTCTCAAAGATCTAGCAAGCAGGCACCTTCCACCATTCGACAAAGTATACCAATAATAATGCCGTCTTGGATCATGTCCTCGAGTTCGATGCCTAATTCATCTTTATCATCTTCACCCGCTTCAACATCGTTAACGCCACCACCACGCTCTCCACCCCGTCCACCACCTCGAGTTCATCCATCTGTCACACGGCCCATCCAACGTACTGTCTCCAATCCCCCTGTAACCTCCCTTACATCCGACATCCGGCTTAGTAAAATTGGACCTCCTCCAAGTATTCCATTGCCATTACCTCCTCCTAGGCCGTTATGCACGATAGCACCACATAACAGACCTCAACCAATTCCACCACCGCGAACCTCACGAAGTTCCAAAGATCTTTCAAATGGTAAAACGGGAAACGCGCAAAACACACAGCGGGTATCTCTCGCACAAAATTCGAAAACCGCTCTTCGCTCGAAATCTCCACCACCTCGTTTTTCCTCAGTTGCATATTCGCCTGCTATATCTTTGCCACCACCATCGCGGCCACCGAATCTTCCGCTTCCGCCAGTGCCGGAAACACCACCTGTTAAAAATGACGGATTCATAATAGCTAAACCGAAGTCAAGAACCACATTGTCACCGTCCAAGGAAACCATTGAATTTCCCGACGATGATGACTTGGATCCAGATTATGCTGAAGAGGTGGAGGCGTCTCGTCGGAGATCGCAAAAAACGGAAGGGAGCATCTCGAGCTCAGATACCACCTTTTTCTCAATATCCGATATCAGCCATGATGAGGTTCCTCAATTATCGGCATCTGGGTTGACATTCGTCATGATCGAAGAGACGCTCGGTGACGGGGAGTTGGTGCTAGATCTTCAATATGTGAAAAACGATAAAGACGGTAATCGTTTTATCAACAGTAATTTTGAGGACAGTGAAAACATCAACTCGTCCGAATCCATGACCAACAGCGAATATAGTACAATAATGTCAGTGGATACCAGTTTGGATGTGAATTGATGCATTTTTGTCAAAATTAATACATTCGCGTGGATGGTATAATTGTCTATTTGTAGAAACTTAATATTTATTCGTGTGACGTAGCACACACTTCCCTTGTATAGAAAATTTTTGTATTTTTGTATACATCTTTATTATATATTGTATTAGTATTTTTATTGGTATTTTGTTGATCGGAACTATGACATTACGTATTGTTTGTTGGCCGAATAGTAAGGCGAGTAAGTATAAGAGCACATCCAGAATCCTAAATCTATGCCTGCCTATTACTTTTTGAAATTTTTTTTTTAGAAAAAAAAAAAAAAAAAAGAAAAAAAAATTTTTTTGTATACGGTCATTTAAAAAAAAGGGTTCCGCCTGCGCATTATGCCTTAAGATCGATTTCACGTGATTCAATAATAAATAAATCCATCACGATATTGTTACATTCCTCACGTCAACTTTAATTGTTATGAAAAAAAAGTCGAGACGTGACACTTTTGCTCGTGGAAAACGACGAGATTACCGCGATGGGTATTGTCAATCACCTTTCAGAAAGGTTACTTCACTCCGCATTATCTGGATTTAATATAAAAAATATTCCATTTATATTCAACACTCCGCATGCATGCAAAGTGGATGAATGTAAAAAACAATGGGACGATCGTCGACTAGATAATAATGAGCGAAGAAAAATATTTATATAAAACAATTCATTCTGCGAGCTGGCGCGGCAAATTTTCGTCTGCTGTGCAGTGACCAAGCTGCGCGTTCTGGCTTTGTCCCGGTTCTAACTCGTTTGCTCACTATGATGGTCTCATCGGGAAAACGGAAAACTGAGGCGCGCCGTAGAACAAGACTATAAAAGGCGTGGTTCCGTATCTTCGCCGTAGCCACATTTGGCAATTGATTAAGAGGAACATTAAAAAAGCCACCTTCTGAGCTTTGGGATCGAGAACATCATATCTGAGGCTTTTTTTTCGTTATTATTATTATTATTATTATTATTATTATTATTATGATTATTATTATTATATTTTTTATTATTATTATTTTTTTTCCAACTTTTATTTTTGTATATCGGAATGTAAATTACACATTTTCTTTTTCTTGCGTATAATTCTTCAAGCACTATAATAACAAAACCTTTTTTTTTTTAAAGTAACCAATATTCTGTAAAATTATGCAATCTAATTCATTAATTCATTTTTAATTGAAAAAAAAATCAAAATAAAGAACATTTTATTAATCGCGCGCCTCCAAATCTCGGGAACGCGAGATCATATGCATACAAAAATATAGTCTAGTATATAAATGACAACTTCGATACGTAGCTCACTTTTTCCGTCGGAGACAAAAGGCGGAATTGGGCCCTCAAAAAAGTATCTCGAGAAACCACGTAGGAAATCAACATCCGATGTTGGCACCCAGACCATCAAGGACAACGTCAAGGAGCCCAATCTGTGCAGTGAAGAAGGATGTTCAACGATGTGTCAATCTTTGTTCAAACGGAGTAAACGGATTTTTGATATTCTCATATATTTTCGTCTTGCACTTGCTTTAACCCTGTACATTCTCATCTTGGTGGACGTAATTCACATTCTCACAAGGGTAAGAAAGGATTTTTGGGTGGAATGCTTGCTGCAGGAAAGTCCTAATTATTAGTTTTTGATGGTGCGTGTGCGAAGAGAAAAATAAAATTTATTGTTATTTTTTTTTTCCATCTAAATGTGGAATTGAATCTAATTCAACAATGCAGGTCATAAATGCAGAGTTTACCCTTTTTACACTATTCTCGCATCCAAAAAGATTAGCCAATTTCCCGAGAGCCATTAAGATATACAGGGCGAGTCGTAAGAGGAACCAGCAACTCGGGGAGGATTACCCGTTGGATGTGAAGGAGGCACAAAAACGCGTGGGCAGAGCCTATGATTGGTATATATATGAAGGAGACAAGGCGTTTATTTGCCCTCCAGCAAAATTGTTAATAGTCCTCACATTTTGGAATATAGGGAGTTTTTTGCAATATGGCATTTGTGGTAAGTGGCAGAACAACATCTACCCGCGCAAAAGATCTTGCATCGCTGTGTCACGGCACACGCACTTTTGCCTTCCATGCTGACCTCTATCATCAATACATTAAAAAAAAATAGCAATTTTGTGGTTTATCACACAGCAATATCGACCCGTTGTAATTTATGCGGCATTGGATCTGTTTAGCTTCTTGTGTGAGGTAGCCCCAATTCCCCTAGTGGTCAGCCAATCAAGACGTGCCATATTGGCGCGTCGGTATGCGGTCTTTGAAGCCGGGAGAACCAGATTGTTGCCGCACTCGAGATACCGAAGATCCATGGGTATATGATCTTCGAGAAAGCGTTGCAAAAGAGAGTAGGATTGACGGTCGATCACTTCACTCCACCTTCACCTCACCTTAGTATATAATTTCACGTACTGTTAAGAAATAACTAATCCTCACACACATAAGATCGAGAATCCCGAATGTATAATAACACACATTAATTTAAAAAATTTTTGAAACGAAAAAACCATTGATCCAAATACACACAAGCCAGGACATAAAATAGTGAATTCGTCCAAATGGTAGTTCCTTAAAGTTTCGACATACGTCGACGCCCGTTGATATTAAAAAAAAAAAAAAATAATAATAATTTTATTGTTGGAAAGTTGGAAATGAGATGACAGTGGTGGGACTAATATTCATTTTCTCTACTTTTACCGGATGGTTATGAAATAGAATCCGACTACATTTACTGTACAAATATTTATACTACATCATATCTTTCATAAATGTAAATCTTATTATTATTATTATTATTATTAATTTAGTGTATATATCGGTTTTAGAGGGAAATGAACAGAATTATTGAAATTCTTTGTACAATATTTCGAGGGAGTCAATGAGTAAAGTGATGTTTCTCATGTATTTGGAATAATCAATAGTTCACTTTTGGCGTGAGACACAATTGAGCAATGCATTTTTAAATTTCCCCATTCTCAACAAACAATTGTATGAATACATTAATGTTAAAAATACAAATTTATTGGACCAAGTTATCGCTTATATGATTTGACGGCGACCAGACCTGAGAAGATTAAACAGTGAAAAAAGAAAAATGGTGTATCGCGTTGTATATTCCTTCATGTAAAAGAGTAATGCCTGAGAGAGCACGGCTTTTGTAATCTGTGCTTGCATCCCCTGTTTGGAAATTTTTCTGTGTAAACCAAGTTTGGAAAGAGTTCAATCACATAAATCATGACGAAATCGCACAATTACCTTATACCATCCTTGGATCCCTTCAGTCGCCAAAACTTTCCTTAGGACATCAATCGCTCCATTATATTTTTTTCTGCTTACTCTCGAGGTCTTCTTGAAGTCTATATCACTTGAATCAACAAACTCTTCGTCTGGTGATTTGCATTGCAACTTAACCTTTGCCATGATGTATGGGTAAGTGATCACCGTGGCAATGGTCTTGCTAAGTGCTCCAAGCAAAAAAATGATTCCAGGAGAAAGATCCGTTTCATTTCTCCTTTTTGATAATATATCCTTAAACCTTTCGAAAGCGCCATAGGTGATGGCAGGATTTACACATAATACAATCGACGGCTTTAGCCCTTTCCATAATCCGGTGATTCCGTCTTCCGAAATAATCTCTTCGGCCGTATCCATCAGGTTTTTCCGGCAAGCTTTTCTCGCTGTCTGTTGTCTGGTGGTGATAACTGAAACTGGAATCGTAAATATCTGAGCAAGAATTCCCGCAAGGGCACCCAGAGCGAGCTCGGTAGCCGTTGACAATGAAGCCGACTTATTTCGCTGATAATAAGTACGAATAAATGAGTACCAATAAAAATAAGCAAAGTTCGTGGATGCGACACCAATGAGTGCAGCAGGTAATCCTGCGTAAAGCCCAAGTATTCCTTCGTTCGAAAGAATCTTGCGGATCGCGTCACCTGCTGACTCGTAATGTTCGCTGGACGCTGTGGTTGATGAGGTTTTCTTGGACTGTACTTGAAGCCGCGTCTTTACGCTGTCCGGCAAAAACCCGTTACGCAAATAAAAGAGATTGTTAAAAAGCCTGTCCGTGTTCACTGTGGGGATTTCAAACAACCTACATGTCTAGCGGGTAAGTTATAGCCAAAGCGATCAGTGCCCCCAATGCCCCAGACACCGCATTGCCAAAAGGCGAAAGAGGTGGTTGCGATGCTATTTTGGATTCGGCTGCCATGGCCTTTCGTTCTGTGTTGCTATTTCTATTTGATATACTCTGTAAATACTGGTTATATATTTTTGTAAATATGTCTGATAATCATGATAATCATCGTTAAAAGAATTTATCACGTGCCCAGTAGTATTTATTTAATTTATTTTGAAGTTGTGAAATGAAGAAACAACTTTTAATTGGTTCGACATGGAAATAGATAAATATCAGACAGCAAATATAATCACTTATAAAATACAAATATGTGGTGTATATAAATCCCCATAACATCAAGATTCTAAATAAAACATGTCCGGTGTTATCCATCTTATCGATTATTCACCACCAATTCCAAGAACTGAGGAGAAAAAAACAATAATAATGGAATGTAGTAGATGTACAGAATGTTGCATAGAAAGAATGAATGTGCCAATTACCTGCTCATAATTGATCGTGATCCAACCGTCATTGTCATTGTCGTAGCGACGAAAAGCGTCCGTAAGGGTCTTAATGGTCACGCAGGATTGCTATATTCAAAATTTTCAAAATTTTTAATGACGGTGAATTCATAATGATAATACAGATAATCGACAGAAGGTTACGATTCATACCACAAAATTGTCGAAAGTCACATCTCCCCTTCCTGAATTTTTAGTACCCGCTTTAAACTAGTTAATGCCTGTATAAAGTTTTAATTGACCAATATAATTGAATTTTTAGAGTCCTACCATACTTATCGTACTTCTTAATGAGGAGGTTGATAAAGTTATCGCTCAAATTATATCCAAAAGTCTTCAAAGCTGTCTTCAGCTCCGAGAAGTTAATGGTACCAGATCCATCGGCGTCAAAAGTTTGAAAGCACTTCTTCCAATCTTCAATGTATCTCCAAAGGCCAGAGAATTCAGTAAAAGTAATTGTACCAGTGTTATCTAATAAACAAAGAAACGAGAAAAAACGAAGAATATATATATATGTTTGATAATTGTATAATCTCGATCAATTGCTCATGTTATACGTGAACACACCAGTATCAAACATGTTCATCATTAATCGAACGGTTTCCAAATTGAATGGACTCCAATCGCCTTTGTTAAAATAACGAATGTTATTATGATTCTTTAAAAAACGACGTCACACAGTTGAAATTAAAGGGAGAATACCATTAATTAAAGCCTTTTGTAATTCCTCGGTGGTCAAAGCCCCGCTCTTGTCAGTGTCTACAGCTTGAAACCAAAACCATAGTTGAGGGTCCGTTCCCGGGGGCACCTGAGCTGGAGCACCTTGTGAACCCGGAGGACCTTGTGAACCTGGAGGACCTTGTGAACCTGGGGGACCTTGTGAGGGAGGTCGGTCTGTTACAAATTGAGGTTGTTCGTCAGAATGTGTTCTTACTTCTAAAATTCAAATTCTTTCAAAGGACATACTCTGTGGAGGTGGTTGGTATTGCTGACTATACTGTTGCTGACCATATGGAGGTGGTGCTCCATAGGTATTCTGTGGTGGTGGGCGACCATAAGACTGTTGTTGATTTGGATTGTAATTATAAGACATGTTTCCTTACTCTAAGAGTGCAAGTAGAACGTAAATTTTCAATTTATACTTATCTGTTCCCAAAAAAAGAACAATAATAGATTATTGGCTTGGCGTTAAATCACGTGATAGAACCAGAAAGAAAAAAAAAAAAAAAAAAAGTGTCGTTTTTAGCATTCAATTTTCGTTTGCACTTGGCGTTTCAATGGCTGTGATACTTGGCTACTGCTGCCATTACCATCAATTTAATGTTTACATAATTTTTAATATATCGGTTTGATATGACGCAAAAGAACATACATGACATATGTATATCGTTATTCATAAATCGATTAAATGTTTACATGTAGTTTCTGTATTATATATAAAAATAGTAACACTTGCGACATATCTCGTATCCATAAATTACCATTCTAAAATTAATAAAGTTCTATGTTGGGATAAATTTACTTGCAAAAGTCAATTATAAATAACAAAGTTTTTTGATCAAATAAATGCCAAGATTTTTATCGTTGCATGAAAAAATTAAATAACTTTATACAGTATATACAGTAAATCTTTGATTTTTTTTTTAATTGATTTTTTTGAATAATTAATTTTCATTACAACAAAAATTTATTTATTTATTTTCTTTAAAAAAATATTATTATTAAAAACAAAAAATCTTTCTAGTTTAAAATTTACTGGTTATTCTTTTCAAGTTTTAAAATTTATCAACAGATTTAAATAAAAGATTAATATTATATATACAATATGTTAAGCAATTATATTTGTATTTATAATTTTATAAATAATGATTTAAGTTAAATAAAATTTTAGAAATGATTTTTTAAGATATAAAAAACAAGTTTATTTATAATTACGTATTTATTAAAATAAATATTTAAAGTAAAAAAAAATAAATTATATAATAATATATATCTTTTATTGATAATTAATATTTAAAAGTATTCTTTATATATGAAGTTATTTTATATTAGAATATATTATCTATATTTTTTGTATTAGCAAAATTAATATTACTACCTTAAACAACAAAATAATAATTATAATAATTTAAATTTGTAATAAATAGAATATTTTTATAAAATACAAAATAATAAAAATTAAAATAAAAAAAAATAAAAATTTATAATTTAATATATAAAACTTATTCTAAAATTACTAATAAACAATTTTTAATTTTTAATGTTAATAATTTAATTTATTTAATACATATCTTGTTTCAAACTATAATATATATATATTTAATTTTAAAAGAAAAAAATATAATACAAAAAAATATATTAGATAATAATAATTTTATTAAAAAAATATAAAAGAATATTATACAAAAATACAAAAATTTAATATTTTTATATTATAATTTTAATATATTTTAATTAATTATAAGTTGTTTTTATTTTAATTAATTATATGTAGTTTATTTGTTTATATAAAATTTGATTAAAAAATATTTACTATACTTAAATAATTATTAAAAAAATTTTTTATTTATAAAAATAAATATAAAAATATATAAAATATTATTATTTTGGGGAGTTTCTTCAGTAGGTAAATATTATTTCTTTATTTGATATTGTATATAACAAGATATATATTATAAAAGAAATAACATCTCTTTTATTATTTCAAGAAAGTTAAATACTAGCTTACCTATTTATCAATATCTAACTAATATTGTAAAAAAATTCAAAATCAATATTAATGTACTAGATATGAGTAGTGACTATATCTATCATTTTAGAAAATTTTGTAAATTCTTTTGATTTTTTAGATATAAAAAATTAAAAAGAGAAATAAAAGTAACTAAAACTAAAACTAAATCGAATGTACTATAAGATTCATGCATATAATGAAAGAACCCCCAGATGAGCTTGTAGTCTTAACTCTTTGTTTTTCCAGGTACTATAGATAATAAAGTACATGTGATATTGTTTGTTATTATAATTGTTGATAATGAGTTGATTATTATTGTTATTGTGATTGTTGTTATGATACAAAACTGATTTGAGCTTGTTTGGTTTTTGTTTTATTTTTAAGTGAAATCTGATTGAATGATTAAAGAGTGCTGATTATTTGGAAGGATAAATTGATTTCAGTTTTTTGGGTGAGAAATTTTTGAAGGTTGAAGATGGTACAGCAAATATTGCTACAAAAATATTATGTATAAGAATTGATTTAAAACAAATAGTAGAACCACTAACTCTATTTGAATATGTGTTTTGGAAAGTATTTGATTTAGCGAGTATGATAATAATGATATAAATGATTTTTGTAATAGAATAAGAATAAGGAGGAATACAAAAGAACTGAAAAAAATAAAACTGTTATGGGTCTTTCTTCATGTAATCGAAGGATAAGCAAGGCTCCTAAACTTAAATAGACTTTGATCAAAGATCCTATCCTACTGTATATGATTGAATTTGTTTAAAATAATTAGAAAATAATTTTATTACAATGGTTTTTTTCTTAATTTCCATCTTCATGTAATTTGATGTTTCATTTTTTTTCTTTCTTATTTGTTGTTTTTATTTAAGTTTTTGTGCCTTTTCTTTCTAATTATGTTATTTTTTTGCATCTGGCATATCAGATTTGATAATAATGCTTTAAAATATCAGTTAATGTTAGTTTTAATAGTGTTTTTATGATGTTAGACCCTGATAGCAAGCAAGAATGGATGTTTTGGATCAGGTGGTGACCGGAAAAAACTTTCTTTAAATGCTTTTATATTGTACAAATATTATCTACCTCTTTTGATTACAAATTTTGTCTTGGATGAAAAAACTAACTTTTCACTTGAGAAGTGCATCCTATTTGAGTAAATTCATTTATATTTATTGATCTTTCCTGCAATTCAGGCATGTTATGTCTTGTAGATATGTGGTTTTTTTATCTCAAGTTACTCAAACGTTGGTAATTTTTCATGTGAGTTTCTGGCAAAAAGATTGTCTCTTAACATTTTTTTGTTGGGCTGAAAATGTTGCACTATGTGTGATGCCAGTGGATCTGAGTGTTTGTTAATGATTCTGTTTAGATTTAACAGTTAGCAATCGCCGTTATTTACGCGATCGTTTTTACAAAATTATGTGTTGGGAGGTCTATTACTTCGTTGTCTCACTTAGTAAATTATGTTAGTTCTTCAATCTTTTTGACCTAATCATGGCGCTCCAAATGCAAATCACGTTTTACATGTATAGTTTAAAAAACGTGATATCTTTCGACTTTCTGCACCATAATCAATTGGCAATATTATTGGTTAATTAAAATTGAAAACAGGTCCATGATCACACCTCCATTAGAAACTACGATGTTTAAAAATTCCATTCATTTTGTTCCTTCGAAAGCACATTCTACACTTACCATCGAAAAATCCTCGGTCGCCTCGAAAGAACAAGTAGCAGAAGACACAGTGTTATTTTACAAGAGTGTAATTTCCTCTCCTTCAACTGCAGCTAGCAAAAGAACTGTGAATGGAAAACTTCGCAAAATACGCCATAAGAGGACTCAGGAAGATTCTACTCGGCAGAAGATAAATAAACGGAGAAATGTCGGGTCATCAAATGGAACTAGCTTAGCTTTATTACAAATGTACAATGATGATAAAGAAGAGATCAACAATGTGGAAAGCCTAAATGAAAATAAAAGGAAGCGAAAAGAAGTTAAGAATAATGAATTAGTAGAACAAAAGAGTGGTGATCCCTCGAAACCTTCCTACAGTGATAAGGACGGTCGGATATGGTGCAAAGATTGTGAAGTTTGGGTAATAGATGAATTATATAAAAATCACGTTCACGGAACCGCCCATCTCGTTTCTTCCAAAACCAACGAAGAAGCACCTCCGGATCCAATAATTCTTAATGAGACTAATCTAGGTTTTAGAATGTTGCGTGATCAAGGTTGGAAGTATGAGAAAGGATTGGGAGTTCATGAACAAGGACGGCGGCACCCGATATCAACAAAATTAAAGAATGACAAATTTGGCATAGGCGTTAAACTGTCCAAGTTGGTTCCCAAGGTAATTTAAATTCTTTTAAATATTAAAATATACAAATAAGTTTATTAATTGGGGAAATTTTTTTTCAGGTTCCACTAAAGCGATTAAGCGCAAAAGAGGCAGCAACACAATATGAAAAGGATCGTAGAAATAGGATTAGGCTACTTGCATATATGAATCGATAGATTCATTAATTATAATTTATTGCATGAAATAATATTCATCAATATGCCTGCTTGCTCAATACTTTCTAAACTCTGATCCCCCACCCGCACTCGTTTCTCTCAACATCAATGAGACTTTACACATGTCTTTCGTTATTAATAGTCTTAATTAATATAGGCATAAAGTCATTTCAAACTAGTGGTAAATTATCCACTTTACAACTCACATTTTCATGTCATCTATACATTAGAAAAAAAAAAGTTTATTATAATTTTTATATTCAGTGTAATGAATCACATGATTTTAATTTTTCGAATATGAGCGCACGTCATGTCACGATAATCTAAAAGATGAAAAACAAACGCAAATTTTCTTCGGTTGACACTGTAAACGTCACTGAAACACCTTTGAAAAATAAAAATTCAAAAGGGAATACTAAAATTTTCAGTAAGAGGTCAAAATTTTCCACCGATTCTAAAAATGCCACTGTCCGTTTGCAAGAATTTCGCAGGGGACTACCGATTTGGAAAGGTTATTAGCCAAGTCTTTGATTATATGTATTATTATAATAAAATGATATGGACTGAAGCAATTCATTTTATAGAAAGAGAAAATTTAATAAGAATCGTCAAAGATAATGCAACTACCATTATTATGGGAGAGATGGGAAGCGGTAAAAGTACCCGTAAGTATGTCGTCCTCCAAACTAACTTCGACGCTTGCGTTTGTAACTTCGGTATTAAATTGCCAAGTTTTTAGAAACACCACAATTTTTGTTGGATGCCGGTCTAACCTCAGAGAGTTCCATAGCATTGACACAGCCACGTCGAGTTGCAGCCATTAGTTTAGCTTCAAGAGTTGCACGAGAGGTTGGGACGAAACTTGGTCACCGGGTAACTATATTTGGTCATCACGTAATACGACTTTAATCTATTGATTTACGTTGAGATAATTAACTTGATTTCTTTTCCGAACTTATTAAAGGTCGGGTATTCTGTTCGATTCGACGATAAATCATCGAATGCTACTGTCATCAAGTACCTTACCGATGGAATGCTACTACGTGAATTACTTTCGGATCCTTTACTTTTGAATTATTCTATAGTCATTTTAGATGAAGCGCATGAAAGGACATTGCGTACGGATATTCTTTTCGGCATGGTGAAAAGAGCACAAGAAATTAGAGGAAATAAGTTGAAAAACGTTGTTGAAACGAGAAAATACATTCCATTGAAAGTAATAGTCATGAGTGCAACTTTGAATTCGGAAAAATTTGCTGCCTATTTTAATACGTGTGGATCATTTTTTATTATATTTCATCGAATAATTCCCTTATGTATAACTAATAATCTATGATTTTTTTTCTCCTCTTAGTTCAGCAATATTAAAAATTCCTGGTCGCCAATTTCCAGTTAACATACATTACAGTAATGTACCTCAGTCCGATTATCTGGATGCTGCTCTTACGTGCACATTACAGATTCATGTAGAACAACCGCCTGGTGATATTTTGGTGTTCCTACCAGGTTATTACTTAAGTCGCGTGTTATTTGGTTATTTGTTATGACGATATATATATCTTCATTAAATTTTGTTAAATACGTTAAATAGGTCAGGAAGATATCGAAACTCTCGAAAAGTTAATTTCTGAATATGGAACCAACTTGCCGCCGGACAAGCCAAAGGTAAGATATGTTGTAATTTGTTTGGCTGTAAAGGTTCATAATATTTATATATGTTGTAATTTGTTTGGCTGTAAAGGTTCATAATATTTATATATGTTTACATTTTATAGATCTTTACATGTTTATTATTTGCTGCTCTTCCTACAGAGCAACAGACAAAAGTCTTTGATCCTTCACCGCCAGGAACCCGTAAGGTGATACTTGCCACCAACATAGCAGAGACCTCGATTACAATTAGCGGTGTAAGATACGTTGTGGATACTGGAAAATGTAAAATCAGAAAATTTAATTCGAGGATAAAGATGGAAATTCTATCCGTAGAAAATATTTCTAAAAATTCTGCAGACCAAAGGATGGGAAGAGCTGGTCGAGAGGTGGAAAAATCTTACAAGTTTAATATGTCATCTTGCTGGACCCGTGATTTTTCCTTCTGATGAAAAATATTTCACCTAACTTAATTAGGCACCGGGGTCCTGTTTTCGCTTGTACACGGAAGAGGAGTATAAGAGAATGGAAAAAGATACTGAACCCGAAATTAAGAGGTGCAATCTCACATCAATCGTCTTATTTTTAAAAGCTTTGGGTATAGAAAATGTGCTCGAATTTGATTACTTGGACGCCCCATCAAGGAATTTACGTGAGCAAATGAATTTCCTATTCTGTCATCTCATTTGTCGGAATTTATTTTAACATGTTATTATAAATTTACAGTAAAAAGGGCTCTGGAGCAATTGTTCATCTTAAAGGCACTTGACAATAAGGGTAAAATTAATGATCTCGGCAAAAAAATGGCAGAATTTCCAATTGAACCAATGTTTGCACGAGTTCTTATCGCATCACAGGTATGCTGAGGTGCTTCGGTTCAATTACAATCAATTATATCGCTCACTAATGTGTATCAATCGCACCTAGTCTATGGAATGCACAAAAGAAGCAATAGATATTGTTTCTTTACTCTCCGTCGATTCCATATTTTTTTCTCCTCACGACCAACGAGAAAGTGCAATGGATATGAAAAAGAAATTTATTTCACCACTTGGAGATTTAATAACATTCTTGAATGTTTTAAAATCCTTTGAGGTGCATAAGGGAAATTCAGATTGGTGCAGACAAAACTTTATTAATAAGCGAAATATGAAACATGTAACTGTGAGTACCGGCTAACGCATTGACGTATATTTTTAGTTATCTACTTTTATTCTGATATCTCAATTACATCCTGAAGGACATAAGAAAACAGTTGACTCAATTGTGTGCTAGGATGGACATCTCTCCTGTGACTTCGTGTGGTGAAGATTTTGAAATAATATTGAAATGCATGTCATTTGGTTTTTTCTGTCAATCGGCAATATTACAACCGGACAATAGTTATAAAACAATTTTGTCGAATCAGGTATGTTTGATCTGGTTGTTTTATTGCAACACAATTCCACATCATAATTCTTTTTCCTTGACAGAATGTAAACATTCATCCATCGTCGACTTTATTCAATAAAAAAATAGAAGTAATAATGTATACTGAACTTGTAAGTCTTTTATTTGACTGCTTAGTTTGATTTCGAATTCCCTTTTTTCAGGGAATCTAATTACATTCTTTTATTTTAAATTAAAAAATTAGGTATTAACGTCAAAACCATATATAAAAAATGTTTCGGTGATACAAAGAAATTGGCTGATGGATTCAGCGCCAAGTATTTAGATGCATTCGGTTTGGATATCGGTTCACGTCAAAAGCCTATTGAAAATCCCTTGTTAGCTAATTACGTATTATAAGTGATGTTATTTATTTCACAAATTTCTTATCAATTGTAATAAATTTGATTGTAACATATTAAAAAAAACTTTATTGGATGCGATCATCGGATGGATTTTAATACATCACCAGTAATCATTACTAGTCATTGCTAAATATGGATCGTCAATTCTTACATCCGCATGCTGACAGCAATGCCTGCAAGAAGATCCCGCAAGAAGATCTTACAGGAAGATCTCGCAGGAAGATCCCACAGGCTCTGTTCATGTCCCGGTCCATGACCATATGACAGTTGCCACATTTGTAAACTTTTCTTTTGCCGATGCCTTGGAGGTGTATGCATCATATTGGACGATCACCATATCCATTTTCTGGATTTTCATTAATCTTATCTTATCATATTGTTTATTCTGATTTACATTATAGCTTTGAAGCTTAGATAAACTGGAACAATCAATCGAGGTATACAGCGGCTTCCAAGTCGATCCTTAATCATCTTATCTAAATCAATTAAAATCAAATCATAATGAAATTAACAATGTATAGTGTATATTGTAATCTAATCAATGTGCATATTAGAATAGTGATTAAGTAATAATTTTATAATAAAAATAATAAAAATTTGGTGTTGTACTATTTTTTGAAATTTTTTTAAATTAACCAATGTTTTTTAAAATAACTATTTATAGAACAAAGAGCAAAGACTATTATTTTACTTAAAAATATATATATAGTTTGAGACAGGTAATTATTAAAATTGGAAACAATATCTATTGTTTTACAAATGACTTTATTTTGGATTATCTACTGTGAGGGGCTATCCAAACCCTTCTTTACTACTAAGTTTTTTAAGGCTGAGATGTAATAATTTGGTTCAAGTTTCTTTCTTAAACTTTACAAAACAAACTCACAATTTATCAATACACATTCATGGTAAAACAACTACTTAAATTGTTACTTAGTTTTTGTTACAGAAGTTCTTCCTCTTTATTTGATTTGCCTTTCCTTTATATATATGCTAATATCATAGTAAAATTATAACAATTATAACAACTATAACAACTATAACAACTATTTTAACTATTTCTACTATAATCACTATAATTGCTATAATTGCTATAATCAAGAAAAAACATATAAAAAATAAATCAACTATAATAAAGATATCTCAAATTTTAGAAATTTGGGATTGTCATGATATTAGTTCATGTGATGATGCAAATATCCTCTTACACTACTAAAGCCTATTTATATAATAAATGAATTATTATTTGAAACATTATAAAAGATAAATATAATATAATTATTAATATACAAAAGTTATATATAAATGTATATTAATATAATTTATAAAAAAATCCAAAAAAATAAATTTAAAGTATATACTATATATGCAAGATATAAAAAACTTTTATTAAATAAGATTTATAAAAAAAAAACCAGAAACTTTTTTTATTAATCTTTTTATTAATTTTAAAAACAGATTATATAAATATAGTAAAAGTAGTACTTCTAATCTTATAAAACATCTTGAAAAAACCTATTTAGCAAAATTAAATCTAGTAACCAACAATATTTCAAAATTGTAAAGAATATTACCAAATTTTATTTATATCTAGTGGATATATAATCCTTTAAAAATGAAAAAAAACTTGTCTATTAAATTGTTATAAACCAGCAGCCATTTACAATTGTTCAAGAACCAACTTTTCTTGAATTTATATAAATACTTGCACCAGATATAAAAATACCTTTAGCTACTTCTATTAAGACAAGTATAATAGATTTTTATTTAAACAATCAAGAAAAAATTCAAAAAATATTACAAGAAACAGGAAGCCAAATTTCTTTTATATTGGATATTTGGACATCGGTTTTAATGAAAACATTTCTAGCTATAACTGTATATTTTATTGACAAAAATTAGATAATACAAAATATAACAATAGATTTTATACAATTGTAAGATATTTATTTAGGTAAAAGTATTAAAAAAGCATTTTTATTATGTTTAAACAAATTTATAATACAAACTAAGGTAAATTTATCTCATATTGTATATTATATTTAAAATAAATATTATATATAACTGATATTACTATTTAATTTTAAAGGTATTAGGAATTATGACTGACAATGTTACAAACAATATAGCATTTGTTAAATTAATAGAAAAGTGAAGTAAAACCCAAGCAATTTCTTTTAGTGCAGCAAAAAATTACTTGTGATGTTTTGCATATGTTATTAATTTAAATATACAAGATACTTTAAATATACTAAAAGAAAATTTAAAACAAGTAAGTTTCACAATAGGTATATATTTTTTTTATATTTACTAATTTATTTTTATATAGTTACAAAAACTTGTAATAAAAATATGATAATTATTTCAATAAAGAATTTATATCTCTTATAATACATAAGTTAAATATTAACTTATTAACAATTTATCTATTTAAACTATATTAATTAACTAAACATTCTTATCAAATAAATATATTATCAAAATATTGTTATAAGCTAATTATAAATATATTTAACCAGATTATTACTTGTATTAAAATTGAAAAAACTTATAAAAAATAAATATATTTAGTAATTTTATAAAAATATAAATAAAGCTAATCATATTAAGTAAAAAAAAAACTCTTTTCAACAATTAATTTTTTACTTAAAAATTTCTTTATTTGATAATAAACTTTCTTAAGAAACCTTTCATTCCCAAATATTTTCAAGTGCTCCAATCAATAATAACTCCTAATTATAGAGCACTTATCAACAAACAGTAACAAGAAACAATTCATATATGCTACCATTTATTAGAACTGGAATTAACTCTTTCAAATTTATTATCTCAACTTTAATAACAATACAATTATCTAAATAGAATTTGTAAAAACTCTCTTTATTACTAACCTCTCAAACTTCCCTAATCAATTCCTTATCATCAAAGAAAAGAAAAACATTAAAAAAATTGTCAAAACAAACTCTATTAATAATGTCTGCATTATTAATTTTATAACAAAAATAGTTAAAAAAAGAAACATCAAAAAACTTTTCCAAATTTGCATAACACTATTCAATCAAAGGAACATTTCTCTTAACCTTTAACATATTAGCAATATTGTAGATAAAATGGAAAAAAACCAACTCAATATGAAACTTTATAACTATTTGTAAGAATTTCTTTTTTTTTCTCAAGAAATAACAAAAAATTCCAATCAGCTTATTCCTGAAAATAATTTTCTGTCTATTACTTTTCTTGTCTTCCAAAAAAGAAATGTTAATTAAATAATCACAATACATATATATGCAAATTTCTTGTCTATTACTTCAATTTTTACCCAATCCAGCAATCTTATAAAAATCAGTAAAACAACTAATTGGAACTTCTAACAATATCATTTTGATATCATTTTGATACTATTTTGATACCAGTTCAATATTTAAATTTAATATAAATTCATATGAGTAGATCACTCCCATATATTAAATTTACTATAAATTAGTACCATTTTGATACTAGTTTGATACCAGTTCAATACTTTTCGAAGTCCTATAACTGATAAACCAATGAAACTTTCTGACCTGAATTCTCTCTTTATTAATTCTATACAATTAAACACATCTTACCTTTATCAAATAATTAGCTCATTCAACAATTTTTTTACTATTTTAAGCTTTAAAAACATCAGTAAAATTAAACTAGCAAACTATACATATTACTGAAATTTATAGATCTTTGATGCAATTAATACAATTATTTGACACAATTAATTGAGTTACTATTAAAACATATAAATAATTAAGTCATGATGCAATTATTTTTGAGGATTTTGAGAATTGAGTTGACAATAAATAATTTATACCACATGTACTGTATATAGCAGACCAATCACAATTAATTAACTTTGTTATAAATCTTGATTAGCTCTTTAGTTTTATCACTACACTTATTCAATCACCTTAATCAAACACATGATCATCTTCTTTTGACCAAGAAATTCAAGAAGAACTTTAACAAATCAAAATAATATGAAATTCTTTGTGAAGAAACAAAATCATTAATCAACCAATTATTTCCAATTTCCAATAACATCGTTACAATTATTAACATAATCACAAAAATTAGGAAATTATTTAAATACTTATTATACTTTTTTCAACCAATCTTTAAAAAACTCAAATTCAAAGATCATACTTTCTTTAACTTTTTTATTACTAAAAAAATCATCAAACCAGTCCATCAAAAAGAATTCAATAAAATTGAAAAAGATTTTCAAAAAAAATACAAAAAAAATATAACCTCAACTATATTAATTTTGAAACAAAAAAATTTTTTGAGTAATTATTTGCATCATCTTATCAATTATTTATCTAATAACTATTGATATTAACAACATTCCCTTCTATAAACTTGTTAGCCTTTTTACTTATCTCATCAACTACTGTATTTTATTAGAAAACCACAATTTTATGTCAACTATACAAAACTCAAGAAAAAACTCAAGAAATATAATGATAACATTCTTCCAGAATTACCATCTTTTCCAATTGAAATTCTATTTCAAATTAAAATCAAACTACTATGTAACCTACTACAAAATATAAATCCCAACTCATTTTAACTTTGCATATACTTAGATCTTATTACAAATTTCAAAAACTTTTAGAAAAATACTTTAAAATTAATTTATTACTATCTGAAAACCCTAATAATTTCTTGTTAAAATACAAAGAAATCTTTCCAATTAGAAAGCGCAATAAATTAAATAGACTTTTTGATTATAAAAACTACTTATATGAAGAATATCAAATCTTCTCCAAACTTCCTGAATTTTACTTTGAATTATTAATTTCAAAAAAATCACTCTCTTTAATATACCATCTACTTGAATTCAAATATGTAAGTTTCTTTCCTTTTAATTTCAGAAATAGTACCATAACTATTCAAGAACTAACTATACTATTTTACAAAACTTATTACTTCAAACTTTTTTCAAATGATTCTTTTTCATCA